TGGTTGTATGTCTCCTGAGCTGTTTTTGCTGTCTCTTTGTGCTCCTGTCCTCCTCCTCTGTACACCGCTCTGGCAGAGCTGCCGCCAGGTGGAACGGTCTGCAGCAGCGTCCTCCAGGTCTGTGGGTTTGACGTTGCACTTCTTCAGCAACGTTTTCAGCTGGTCCTTGTAGCGCTTCATCTGCCCCCCTGTGGACCGCCGGGCAAGATGTAGCTGGCCACACAGGATCTTCCACGGCAAGCGTTCCAGAGACATCCTAATGACATGCCCAAGCCAGCGCAGTTGGTGTTGGGTGACCATGGCCTCCATACTCAGTTGGTGTTAGCAAGTATTTCTGTATGGGGCACACGGTCACACCAGGTGATTCCCAGGATGTGTTGTAGGCATCTTATGTGGAATCGCTCGAGCTGCTTGTTGTGCTGACTGGAAGTGACTCAGGCTTCACAGCTGTAAAGAAGTGTGATGATGCAGACGGCTTGCTAGACGGCAACTTTGGTGTGGAGTTGGAGATCCCTGTTTTGGAAGACCCTGCGTCTGAGTTTCCTGATGGCAGCTGATGCTTGCTTGATCCTATTTGAATTTCGAGGTCAATGCTGCAGTCCTCCGAGAGGATACTGCCCAGGTATTTGAAGGACGGGACTATTGCCAGTGATTTGTGTTCAATGGTGAAGACAGGCATGGTGGGTGGAGGGCTGGATCTCCATTGGCAGATCCAGCCCTCCACCCAATATGGAAATGCAACATTTAGAATGAATGACTGGGTCACGTCCATAGATACAGAACAAAAAGACTGAACGACTGGAAGCAACCCTAGATTTGTGTCAGGACTATATCTTGTGGAAAGATGAAATAGAATGAATAAATCCATCAAAATAAAGTTTTGAATGAAAATATGTCAATCATTATTTGAATATGTTGGTAACCCGTTGTATAAAAGTGATAATGCCCTCGAAGCCGGTGTTGGATGATATATTGGCAATACATCCTTCAAACACCGGCTTCTCTGGCATTTTCACATCTTGAGTTGTTCTATTTTCACATTGAAAGATACTGATCTAATTAGTGGATTTATTTATTTTTCTCTGAAAAATGCTGTCCCACCTTTTGATGTCACTTCCGAACATCTTATATTTCAAGAAATATATAAAATATAGTTTTGGAACTAAACTATACGTTTGCTGGGATGTACATCTTTCCAAATGAAAGCGAGCCAGTCATATGCTAGCTATGGGGATTCATTAAAGTCCAAAATAAGTCAAACTTGTCCAAACTGAAACAGTCACAATCAAAACAATTGACACCTTAGAGATAGATAGAAGACTCATCATTTAAAATGGTGGAAGCCCTCAAAGGCAATGTCCATACTCAAATGGTTTATATCCATCTAATGTCCCCTATCTATCTTTATGATTGATACTTGATTTATTATCCACTATATTTCTTTTTTAAAATATTTTTATTATTCTTTTTTATTGTTTTTCATTTTTATCAATTTTTATCTTCATAGTTTTTTTTTGTTGTTGTTTTTTTTCGTTTTTTTTGGGGGGGGGGAGGGGGGAATGGATCAGCTTAATATTGCAGATAGATTGTCTCTTCTATCAATGTAATTGTCTGCATCACTTCCAATCCCCCATGTTTTTTTTTATTTTTTATATTTTTTTATATATATACTCCCCTTTATTACTTTTCAACCCCACCATCCTTTCCCTACTTGGAGTAAATTAGTGAACAACAATGCCCAGGCCTCTACTTCCGGTCTATACTTACTATCTACACCTTATGGACAGAGTTAATTTTACAATAATTCTATTATATATATATATATATATTATTATTATTATTTTTTTTTTTTTTTGCTCCTGAACTTCTTCTACTCTCAACCTCCACTATATGTCTTTACATCTATAGAAAAAAAAACATCTGATATGATAATCATTAGCATTAGATCATCATTAGCATTTTCATGCTTCATGTCCAAATTATGCTAATCATTGGCTTATCGTGTTAATAATTAGCATTAGCATTAGATAGAACCTGCATTTTGTTGCTTCATGTCCAAATCATGCTAATCATTAGCTAATCATGATCAAATCATCTATAAGTCACTTCAATTAGTTACACAATCCATTTAAAGTGAGACATGCAGTCTTCTGTTTAATTGATTCAATGCTAACAATTGGCCATATATTTTCCTTCCGAATCAAATGTGCCCTATTTGATATGGTATCAATTAAGTAAGCAGTTAGGTTCAGAATGTAGACGCCAGGTCACAATGGAAACAATGATGTCACTACTGGAAAGTCTGTTGTTTTGTCAAAATAAAGATAGGAAAAGTTACAATTGAAACATTTAACATATTTAATAAGATGCATAAGTAATTCAATCAATAAGTTTCAGATTCATACAATCAACAATTAACATTTTACAGAGAACAATAGAGATCATATTTCACTAAATAAAATGTAAAGGTTTTGAAAATCTGGTAAAAAATCTGGTTTTTACTATTTTGTAAATGTTGTATGCAAATAAATGTGTAAAGTTGTATGCAAATAAAAGTTGTATAATTTATTTGTAATAGAAGGTTATTCAAAATGATCAATACTGTGCATGGTTAGGGCTGTTGCGGTGACCATATTACTGCCACACCGGCGGTCACGAGTCATGAAGGCAGTCAAATTCCACGTGACCGTTTTGTCACGGTAATTAGGCTTCTCCAAGCTCTGATGCTAATGCTGGTTATTAGTAGCCTACCAAACTTGCTAACTGCCTGGTACTCAGCACTCTATTGTCCCTCTAATCACTCTGACATTAACGCAAATATCATCTAAATCTAATCGAACACTTAATGAGAGCCCATGAGCTCATGTTGCGCAACATTTCTATAGGCTATGCAATTGCGTGATGGCCTCTACTAAAAAGAGGAGGATCCCATCAGCTTTCTATAAGCTTGGCCTACTATATTTATTTTTCAACTTTCCCAATATTAAGCAAATAGCTTAAAAAACATATTCTATTAGAAATTTAAGTGCATAGATGACATGGATTTTTTTCCCCACTACCCCTGTTTCGATACAGGTGCATGATAATGGTCCATTCTAAATCAAAACAAATTTCACACATGTATTATTTAGTATATGTAAAGACAAGATTAAATCAGGAATAGTTTGATGGGTGAAAATATTAGCCTATCACTTGTGAATTAGATATTATCACTTGTGAATAATGCCCATAAAAATGCACCTTTATAATAAAAGCATTACATGCATAATTGCATTTGAGGTCACTTTGGTTAATGGTGTTTTCCGCTAATGGAACATTTGCGCTTATAGCCTACTACCATGTGCGCATTGCTGCACTTATAATTTGAATAAATAGCCTAATAGTTTATCAACATTTAAAGCTAAACATTCTGATCTGTTGCATCAGCCACATTGCGTAAAAAAGGGTTTTTGATGCTAGTGGTTGTATTCATTTGGGATCTATCGCATCCCACAACTGTCCCAGACTATGTTTGGAATATTTATTTCTCGCACAGAATAGAATAGGTCGACTTTTGTACTATGGGGGATAGTAGATTGACATAGGCTAGTGCTTTTGCTGTTCGTTAAGCCTACTCATCTTGTTGGCTGACGAAAAGTAAATGTGGACAGTTCTTCCAATATCTTCAATATGCACCTCGGAATTGGATAAGGACATGCACAGTTGCGTCCCCGATGTGTCTGTCTTCACTTGTATCCTGTGAGAAAGACCCGATCACGTGATGGAGAGCCATGTGAGTGAGAGGTGATTCGGAGCTCTCAGCACTCAGGGAGAAGGGCACAACGACCACTGGCCGCAAAAGGCATGGATTTTTTTAGGGTGCATAACGGCCACACAAAGGGGATGCCACTGTGAAATTCTAGGCATTATCAAGTGTTTGTCAAATTGTGAATGAGTGACTGATGTAGTGTGTACAGCCTGTGCAAAAAAACAAAGCAGAGCTCATGCCTTTCAAGCGGCTTTTTCCAAATCATCATTAGAGTTGCATCATGCAGCCTTACATTGTATTAAAAATCAAACCCTATAGCCCAACGTTTGTAGAACAACTAAAGTTACATTAATAACTCTAAATTAAGCATATAGGAATACCTAATTATTTGTTAACCGCTCAACACAGAATAGCCGTATGTGCACACTCCCTCAAATCGTTTGGAGAAAATATCCTTTCTATTTTATTCAGCTTTTTTCAATTGTATTATTCATACTATAAAATAATGCCACGGAATTCTAAGCAAATCTTGTCTGCTAAATGAACTAGTGTAGCCCACAGCCATTTGGCATAGCCACATCAGGACCTAACATAAGGACAACTCAGAGTATGCTATGTTGTTCTTCTGAAATAGACTACATTTTCTTCATATCATGCTTCTTTAGACCTGTCTAAAATAAATAATGGATTTATTGTGAAGGTGTAGGCTATATTACATGGATTTATGCATAAGCAGTTGAGGAACTCATACTCTTGTGTAAGCCTTGTTAAAGCTACAAAAGTTACAAACACTAAATTCTGTATTCCATGTAGATATTTTCATATGTGATGCACTTTCTGTGAGAATGAATGTTGGCAGTTGGGCGTTGGAACTGAATATTGATGTTCTTAGTCAGAATCACAGATGTAGTGGAGTACCTCAGCGGCTTATTAACTGGACATCACAATCAACTATGAAAGTTGTAGGCAGATTACTTGACAGTTGAAATGAGACTCGACCAGCTTTCTAGTGTTGTGAGCAAATTACCAAACAGCGTCTTTTATGACACACCAGAATACAGTACGCTTCATATGTCGGCTCAATCGGGAATTACCTTTACATTTCTATCACGCAATCTGTAATGATGAGCCCCTAATAAGCTTTTCTTCTATCTCTCTACACTGCAGGATATCAGAAGCCTTCCCTGTGACAGACCTGTCTGACCACATTCAGCCAGCTGGGCTGTGTGACTGCTGCTGAACACTGCTGAACATGACCGAGCCCAATGTGAGCCTAGTGACCGCCAACATAAGCGGCGCCGGGGCCAGTAGCAATAACCTGGGGTATGGAGCAGGGAACTTCTACCGTCCGTTCTCGGTGTTCAGCGTGCTAACCCTCACCCTGCTAGCCATGCTGGTGGTGGCCACCTTTGTTTGGAACCTCCTGGTTCTCCTCACAATCCTGAGGGTGCGGACCTTCCACCGCGTGCCCCACAACCTGGTGGCCTCCATGGCCATCTCGGACGTGATGGTGGCTGCCCTGGTCATGCCGCTGAGCCTGGTACACGAGCTCAATGGGCGGCTGTGGAAGCTGGGCCGCGTGCTCTGCCAAGTGTGGATCTCCTTCGACGTGCTCTGCTGCACGGCCAGCATCTGGAACGTGACCGCCATCGCTCTGGACCGCTACTGGTCCATCACCAGACATTTGGAGTACACGCTCAAGACTCGCAAGAGGATCTCCAATGTGATGATCGTACTCACCTGGCTGCTGTCCTCCATCATCTCCCTGTCGCCACTGTTTGGCTGGGGGGAGACCTACTCGGAGGAGGGCATGGAGTGCCAGGTGAGCCAGGAACCCTCCTACACCATCTTCTCCACCTTCGGAGCGTTCTACCTGCCGCTGTGCGTGGTGCTCTTCGTCTACTGGAAGATCTACAAGGCGGCCAAGTTCCGCATCGGCTCGCGCAAGACCAACACCATCACACCTATGGCTGAGGTGATTGAGGTACTTTTGTTGCCCTAGTTTTACCTCATGCCAGGCAGGTAAAACTGGTTGGATTGGCGTTATTCCAACCAGTTTCTGATTGTAATGATGTATTTTTCAACTAGTTTTGCCTGCTGGATGGTTGGTTGTTTCATGTGGGATCCACATGATGAACTACTAGTAGGCTAGCATGGCGTTAATAATCAGATCATTTCATTACCTTATTTTTACATTGACACACTCGTAAAGCTCCTCTGGCAATTTTGCCGGACTTAATCAACCCTGATCAATGTTCAGATAATGGTTGCACATTCAATCACGATCTGAATCATTATCTGAATATACCTCAATGATATCAGTATCATTATAGCTTTCCCATATTTGCTCCTGAGGTGCATATCACATTGTTATCGACTGATGAGGATATAGCTCTCATATCGGTTGCTGGGCAATTAGTGGAAAATCATGTCATCTTCACAATACATTCTGAGCTGTGTTCTGATGGTGTTGTGATGGTGCTGCAGGGCTGTGGGAAGTGCATTGTTCTCTAACGCTTGTCAGTGTGTACTGTATCTCATACTCAACAGACCAAGTTACATGAAGGCATATACACATGCATGTTTGCACATAGGCTCCCACACATGTGCACATGCGCACACAACTACACAAATCCCCATGAACAAGCAAGAACAATCCTCAATGTCAAGGATTATATCTTTTTTCAAGGAGCTTTGTTTTTTTTTCACAAACTCTCTCTCTCTCTCTCTCTCTATATATATATATATATATATATATATATATATATATATATATATATATATATATATATATATATATATATATATATATATCTCATACACACACACACACACACACACACACACAAATACACACACACACTGAGGGTGGGAGACAATGTGTTCCCCACACAGAGGGACATTTCACCCATGGCATTTAATCCATGGAAGAAACAAGAAGACAGTGACAAGTGAAGGAGGCGGCTGGTATTAATGGCAATACTGTAGGCACAGTGGCCTATAAATACCCAGCATGTTTAACAAGACTAGAGGCCACTGTACCTTCTCCACCACAGCAGCTCTCTCTAATCAGCAAGGCCCCTGGGCATAGACCAGAGACCCAGGCTGCGTCCCAAATGGCACCCTATCCCTATAAAGTGCACTACTTTTGACCAGGGCCCTATAGCCTCTGGTCAAAATTAGTAACCTAAATAGGGAAGAGACTTCCATTTGGGATGCAGACCCACTCAACATGCCCAAACTTGTTCAAATGGAGCTGCCTCCATGCTGTCTCCACCAGGGTTGGGGTCAATTCCACATTTGATTTGAATTCTACATTCTGGAATTCAAGCATGAAGTGGAGAATGTACTTGAATTGTAATTGCAGCAATCTTTAAAAACAACTTAATTGGAATTTATTTGGAATTTAGACTGTCTGAATTGGAATTGATCTGGAATTGAACAAGAATCATCATTGGAATGGAATTGGAATTTTATTGGAATTTAGACTGTCTGAATTGGAAGTGAATTGGAATTGATCTGGAATTGAACAAGAATCATCCTTGGATTCGAATTGGAATTTAGAATAGTACAACTTGAATTGTATTATAATTGTGCAAATTCCAGTTACTGGAGTTTATGTATTTAGCATTGAAATTGAATGCAAACGTTGTTTTAAATCATTTCAACATAGTAATTGTGAACACATATTACAATGTTTGATCAAAGAAATATAACTATATACAGTACTGTTTATGCATTATATTTTAAATGTTTTCTAATGAGGACGTGCAGTATATTTCCAATTAGTTTATTTTGGTCCAATTAAAGAGATAGTTCACCCAAATTACAGATTGGTTTCCTTACCCTTAAGCAGTCTATGAACTATGACATTTGGGTGGACTATCCCTTAAGGATGCCTTGTTTATATACACCTTCCTAATACTGAGTTGCACCCCCTTTTGTCCTCAGAACAGCCTCAATTTGTCGGGGCATGGACTCTACAAGGTGTCGAAGGTGTTCCACAGGGATGCTGGCCCATGTAGACTCCAATGCTTCCCACAGTTGTGTCAAGTTGGCTGAATGTCCTTTGGGTGGTGGACCATTCTTGATACACACAGGAAACTGTTGAGCGTGAAAAACCCAGCAGAGTTGCATTTCTTGACAACTCAAACCGGTGCACCTGGCACCTACTACCATACCCCGTTCAAAGGCACTTAAATCTTGTGTCTTGCTCATTCACCCCCTGAATGGCACACAAACACAATCCATGTCTCAATTGTCTCAATAAGGGATCATAGCTTTCACCTGGATTAACCTGGTCAGTCTATGTCATGGAAAGAGCAGGTGTTCGTAATGTTTGGTACACTCAGTGTATATCGGGGCTTAATTCCATTTCCACTGAGTATTGTTTATTACATTATTCTGTATTGCTTGCGTTTTAGCTTTGGAAAAATACATTTGAAATGGTGTCAGGAGGCTGATTAACACTTCCCAGCATGCTGTTTTGGAAGTCATTTTTTGTAATTCTTTGTTTGCACATTTGGATGCACATTGATTGTTATTTATATAATGCAGCACAAAGATAAATAACATATATATATATATATACTCTGATCTGTTAGTGGTTGGATTTATTGCACCTGTTATTGAGATGGTGGAGCCAGTTCATATGGTTTAGGTTGTCCTATCAATTTCATGTTCCCTATCTTCTATAATCAGTCTGAATGCAAAAGGTGGGTGATGAGTTATTCCAAATGTTGTAAATCTGCCATTTGGCTGAATAGCAAATAAGCAATAATACATGAGAGGGTATGATAAAAATGTCATAACACATGGACTCAAATGTATTATCGCTTTTATACAACTGGTTACCAGCATTAAAATCAAGATTATTTCCCAAACCATCAATTTTTCACCAAAACATGATGCTACGTTCACTAACACTGGTTGCCGTGACATTTTAGGCGTTCTCTGGTCATAGTTCTATTCATATTGACTGCCATGTAAAGCAAAGCTACCCAAGTGCTGGTTGATAGTTCCAGAACCTTGGTTTCTAGGGAGGCTGTCCATGGTTCTGAAAACAGCGCACGTCTGGTCAATGCATAGGAAAATTGAATGTCAGATCGAGACATTGTATAGGGGCGCTGTCCATGGATCTGAAAACGGCGCTGAAACATTGTAGCAAAGACATTGATACAGCAGATCAGAATAGAAACCACAATGACAATATTTTTTGGGATAGTCACAGCAACGACAGCTATTTATTTATGATATTGAATTGCACATTTCCACGGGGCGGAGCTCGTTCCCCTAGGTTGTCATACATGCAGCCACAACAATTCTCTCTGTCTCTTTCCATTGGATTTTTGTGGTTCTTGGTTTCTTCATTTTTGTCTTATTTTATCACGAATGAGTCTGGCTTCAGTTTGCTATTGCCTTCATTGCCTCCTCAGCCAAAGTGCAACCACAAATTAAACGCTGTGGTATGCAAATCAAATAATTATTATTGCTAATATAACAGATAATCAAAGATGGACCTTCTGATTTTTGAACACACTTATGAACACATCATTTTATGGAACCCTAGATAAAAGCTGAAAATATGTGAATGCAATGACCTAGTCTTTGTCACTAATAAACACAATCATGGGTGGAAATTCTAAAGTCTGTCCAATCTAAAGGCACCCTGGGATATATGCAAATATTTGCATATATCCTAGTGTGCCTTTAGAGTGAACTTCGTAATTACCACTGTGTTTGCTGGTGACAGAGACATGGTTGTTGCATTCAATTCCTACCAGTCCTGTAGCCTTCACTAAGTGATGTATTGTCATAAAGGGTGAATATTTTATCCTTAAAATCGATCCCTTTATGGCAATACATCACATATTATATCATAAGGCTGTACCTCAACAGCCTAGTTTTACCATAACACACAGGTCTGAAAGTCTTGGTTTGTAGGCCACATTGGACAAGTCACATTATGCTGGTTTGCAAAGGGATATGTAATTCCTATTGGAATCCAGCCAGAGTTAGGATATCCAACAACTGGGGCTGGTTGCACCAGTTGGTCGTAAGTGGGTCGTAACTCTACGTCAGATGTTAAATGCGCTATACGTCAGACCAGAAAATTATACCTCTTGCACCACCTGGGCGTAAGCCCTTCTACACCTCGTAGAGAGCAGGCATAGGGTTATAAATTGGGACCATCTTCATCTTGATACGCACAGAAAATAATAGCAATATTGAACAACTTCCACAGGCTTTTCAAGTTACCTATGAGCCAATAGCAAAACAATACACTTGATATATGCTACATTATGGCGTGCTAAATGTGTCTGATCATTGGTAGATTAGCAAACGAAGCCAGAGTTAAAATAACCAGATATACAGACTGAGATTCAGTGAAGCAAAATCACATTGATTGATCATCAGTCAGGTCTAGGGCTTTTGGTCGGGATATCGGCAAGGCTACTATGCGTGTAAACTTTTAATCACCCACAACCTGCATTAAGAATGACTGGGTGGATTGAACAAATGAGACTACCTTAACCATTTAAACTGGAACAACCATCTCAGTAACGGGTTCAATAAGTCCAACTACAAACGGATTGTATTAGTTAGAAAATCATCAGATCAATCAATCAATGCAAATACACAGATATTGAAACAAACAATTTAAAACATCTACCTGCATAATAATGATGGCCGTGGTTTTGAGTGCCTGTGTGTTTAAAGATGAAGTAAGTTATGTCAGAAGCTAGCTGATTCATTACTTACCAACAACAGCTGCAAATTCCAATAAAACTACATCACGTTTTGAAGTTCACTTTTCTTGCTTTGTCTAACAACACTATCATGAATCTAGCTAATAAGTTTTGTGGGTCAGAGTGCAGTATTTATTTAGTTTCATAGCACAAACGTTTGTTAACATGTTTCTCACACAGGTTTTAGCCACGGAGGGGTTGCCTAGCAACATGTGCCTCATTGGGAGTCAACGTCTGCATTGCGCGACATTCCCATTAATTGTGAATCTGTATGAACCGAACAGCAAGTGTGACAGGTAAAATGGCTTTGAAAAATGTCAGCTAATAGGGAGAAGTACCTAACAAAATAACTACATTGTGGCATTCACTAATCATAAACTATTTAGATTTAATAGAAATGTCAGTACATTTGTGGACACATATTTTACTTACTCAACCTTTAACTCTATACAGAGTAAGAATTACACAATCACATAAAACTCTGGTTATTAACACCAACGCTCAGGTTATTTTACACCACTGAGTGTTAATGTAACTCCTGAATGAATAAAGCTCTCATTTATGGAGAAGGACTTTCACTCTACCTTTAGTATTTTTGCTTTATTTAGACTTACACATATTATGAAATGTGGAGACAGGAACTGAACCCTGGTCTGGGGAAACACACATATGCTTGTTGCAGGGATTGTTGCCCACATGCCCACAGCTCTGCAAGAACCTCTAATTTCTATCATGAATCTTGTTTCGAACTATGCATTTAAGCACTTGACAACATGATGTGTAAATGTTACATAAAGGGTTTTCTTTTCATATAAAAAATGTGAAGCTAATGTGTTTTAGGTGTGTCCCTATCTCATAAAAAAAAAAGATTAGTGATTTTTGTAATTGTTTTTAGAGCATGGAGCTTTGTTTCCCACAATGTGCCAAACCAATTAGAGGAAAAAAACAACAGTAAAACGCAATACTGAATAATACAGTAGTCACTACCGAGTGGAATCGAGTAGTTTGCATTTTCAGCATTATTTCATCCTGTTCAAATTAAACAGCTTTAGTTTATCAATGATATTCACTAATTGGATGAGTTTTTTTGGATAATGTTTTACATCTTTATGATTGTATGTTTTAATATGAAAAGCATCTTATTGTATTATTTTATATATTTAACAATTTAAGCTAAATCCCTAAATTCCTGAGAGTTTTCAGAATTCAGGAGACATTTAGAGGTTTACCAGGAATATTCCCTCTTAGTTCGTTAATAGGTAAAGTTGGTCTTTGGAATCTGCCATGAGTTGAGGTAGTAGGGTTCAGTTTGGCTTGAGTTGAAAGAAGTGAAGGAATGTAAATTCAGGGAATTGGTCTAGAGAGCGAACTGAATTATGTGAATTGTTGTGGCAGAATATTGAATTAGGAATTGTATTTTTGAATTGACTTAGAATTGATGGAATTTATAGGGAGAGGGAATTGAATTAGAATTCAATTTGTGGAAATGACCCAAACCCTGGCCTCTACTCTCTCTGGCTATATTAAAAAGGCAAACCGCAGCATACACCTTTAAGGTTGTCAGGTTTGTTAAGATACTAAGCGGAGAGAATTGGCTGGTACAAAACAGCTAAAATGTATTAAGACTATAAGCGGCTATTTCACTGATTTAGAGACGGTTGAAAGTAGACTTCTTATAGACCGGTAGGTCATTGGAAAATGTCCTTTAGCTTTCGTATGTTTTATTCTATTATACCACAACAACAAGTCGCATATTATTATTATATTAGAATAACAGTCAAACAATAGAAACTAATTGGCACCTAGCATGAATATTTATCACCATACACACCCTCAGTAGACACCCCCTCTAGTTTTCACATAAATGAATTAGACAGTCAAATATCACCCCCTAGGACTGTGGTATTTCAGCTGAATTCGTTTAGTCAATTAATGTTCTATGAAGAAAAGTCAGGCTGTTTTATCTGTGGTATGACCGTTTGTATACATGGGTGTTTGGCTCAAGGTCAGCCCAGTTAACAGCATGGACAATAGGAGTCGTGAATATTTGGCGTGAAAACATCCCAACACAAGGAAGCATGCAGACCGCGATCGGAGCCCTACTGGAAATATCACACACGATTAACACATTCCGTTTGAAATTCTAACATGTTCCATGGCATGTGACTTGACTTCATAACCTGTTTCCAATACATTTGACATTTATTTAGGAACAACAAATGCTAGCTTTGCAGGGGTTTGGGAATACAAAGACAGGTTGAACACATTTTTTACGTGGTACAATGACATTTGTGTGACAATGAAATTTGTTACTGTGTAATTATTGTATTTCCAACACGTTTTTATCATGACCATTTCCGGTAGGGTATCTCTGAGTGGACTTCAGGGGGGGCTTACTTTCAACCCATATCTAAACGCAATCCCCAACCCCTAGTATGGCTCAGTGGAGTAGAACCACTGTGTTCTAATAGGAAATTATATTGATATTTAGACAACTGCTACTTGGTATACAAACGGAATCAGCTATGTTTAATCCAGTTGAGCCTATCAAACAACATCAAACACCATTGTTATTGCTTATGTCTTGTGCATTACTTTCGTTTGCATGTCTTAAAGAGATTCTCCGGAACTTTTGGATGCTTTATAGCCAGTAGTTCTGAAAGTAGCACTCACGGGCTAAAAGTGGTCCCCGAAAATTGCATACTGTCACATACAGCGCAATCGGAAAGTATTCAGACCCCTTGACTTTTTCCACATTTGTTACGTTACAGCCTTATTCTAAATTTGATTGAATTGTTTTTTTTTCTCCTCATCAATCTACACACAATACCCCATAATGACAAAGCAAAAATTATTTAAAAAATACTAAACTGAAATATCACATTTACATAAGTATTCTGACCCTTTACTCAGTACTTTGTTGAAGCACCTTTGGCAGCAATTACAGCCTTGAGTCTTTTTTGGTATGACGCTACAAGCTTGGCACACCTGTGTTTGGGGAGTTTCCCCCATTCTTCTCTGCAGATCCTCTCAAGCTCTGTCAGGTTAGATGGGGAGCATCGCTGCACAGCTATTTTCAGGTCTCTCCAGAGATGTTCGATCGGGTTCAAGTCCGGGCTCTGGCTGGGCCACTCAAGGACATTCAGAGACTTGTCCCGAAGCCACTCCTGCATTGTCTTAACCATGTGCTTAGGGTCGTTGTCCTGTTGGAAGGTGAACCTTCACCCCAGTCTGAGGTCCTGAGTGCCCTGGAGCAGGTTTTCATCAAGGATCTCTCTGTACTTTGCTCCGTTCATCTTTCCCTTGATCCTGACTAGTCTCCTAGTCCCTGCCGCTGAAAAACCCCACAGCATCATACCGCCACCACCATCATTCACCGTAGGGATGGTGCCAGGTTTCCTCCAGATGTGACGCTTGGCATTCAGGCCAAATAATTCAATCTTGGTTTCATCACACTATAGAATCTTGTTTCTCATGGTCTGAGAGTCTTTGGGTGCCTTTTGAAAAACTCCAAGCAGGCTGTCATGTGCCTTTTATTGAGGAGTGGCTTCTGTCTGGCCACTCTACTATAAAGGCCTGATTGGTGGAGTGCTGCAAAGATGGTTGTTCTTCTGGAAGGTTCTCCCATCTCCACAGAGGAATTCTAGAGCTCTGTCAGATAGACCATTAGTATGAAAAATGTATGCACTCACTAACTGTAAATCGCTCTGGATAAGAGCGTCTGCTAAATGACTAAAATGTCAATGTTCTAGGTCACCTCCCTGACAAAGGCTCTTCTCCCCCGATTGCTCAGTTTGGCAGGGTGGCCAGCTCTAGGAAGAGTCTTGGTGGTTCCAAACTTCTTCCATTTAAGAATGATGGCGGCAACTGTGTTCTTGGGGACCTTCAATGCTGCAGAATTTTTTTGGTACCCTTCCCCAGATCTGTGCCTCGACACAATCCTGCTTCGGAGCTCTACAGACAATTCCTTCAATCTCAAAGTTTGGTTTTTGCTCTGACATGCACTGTCAACTGTGGGACCTTATATAGACAGGTGTGTGCCTTTCCAAATCATGTCCAATCAATTGAATTTACCGCAGGTGGACTCCAATCAAGTTGTACAAACATCTCAAGGATGATCAATGGAAACAGGATGCACCTGAGCTCAATTTCGAGTCTTATAGCAAAGGGTCTGAATAATTATGTAAATATGGTATTTCTGTTTTTTATTTTTAACACATTTGCAAAAAAATCTAAAAACCTGTTTTCGCGTTGTCATTATGGGGTATTGTGTGTGTAGATTGCTGAGGATTTGTATTTATTTAATCCATTTTAGAATAAGGCTGTAAAGTAATTTTTTTTTGAAAAAGTCAAGGATTCCATTAATACTTTCCGAAGGCACTGTATGTGCAGATATGTGCACCAAGTCATTGCTCTCTCTTTCTCTCTCTTCTGTGTCCACTGAATTATTGGGCCCGCACTGCAACCTCATTGGATAACACTGGGCAGGTCTCATGCTAGCTGTCACTCAAATTCAAAGGGCTAAAGCTCATTGGCTAGAACTCGAATTGCTAGGAGGCTGGCCCACGTGGGGGGAAATGTAGGGAAAATGTCATGGCACAGCTTCAAGAAAACAGTCACTTTCAAAACGAGTGATTCCGTGGCTAATTGAGGTAATTCTGCTCATAGATTATGCATGTATGAACTACACATTGACACATCCAGCCCAATGTGGGAGGTTTCAACAATATTTTCTTAGTCGCCAAATTAACGGAGCATGTCTTTAAATTCCACAAAAATGTAGTTAAGTCACTTAGGGACTGATAGTTAGCTACCTTTTTGTCTGAAAATTACATTTGACATTTCGGCACAAAAGAAAACCTTAATCTATTGACAGGAGTCAGGCTTTCATATATCACAGTCCCAGATATCTGTGCTTAAAGTATTACATCCATAAACACTGTCAAATAGGCAATCTGGGATTCGAACAACAACAAAGTGGACACTTGTTTTGGTAAACAGCTGAGGGATGGGGCTAGAGAAATGTAACCAATTTCAAATCCATACAGATCTATGGATGCAAGGACTGGCCATGCATGAGATAAAAAGTACATAATGAATATTGGGTTGTGATGTGGTAAGACAGTTGAACTAGGTTTGTGAGGCATTTATGAGTTATGTTCTTCAAGAATCAATGGATATATGTCATTAAAGCACACAAATTGATGTAACAATCCTAGATTGTCCCTTTAAACTGCAAACCCTTTTTCCACAGTACCTCAGGGTTCAATATACTCTACCCCTCAATTTGGCATCAGCAACATCCCCCTAGGCATTATGCTTTTAACCCCTATCCTCTGCTGTAAATGGAATGACTCTCGCCATTCGTCTCCCAGGCCTCCTGACACTTATTGATTTCTCCAAGAATTTACTCTGCCATTTTCTACTTTTTCACACCTACGCTAACTAGTTCTGACTAAGCTCTTTATACATCTCTGTATTTGCATGGTGTTTTCATTCCATTTATTCTGTTTAACAGCACTCTCTGTGTGAGGCTGATGGCTTTTGATTTGATTTGATTTATTAGGATCCCCATTAGCCGACACCAATGGTGACAGCTAGTCTTACTGGGGTCCGACATATAACGAAAAATACATTACAGACAAATACTTACAATTTACATATGTTTAAAAACATGAACATGTAGTGTGTGTGTGCGTATATCAGTTACACAGACATGTCAGTACATACACACAACAAGTAGGTCACATGAAGGAGAGGTGTTGTGCCGTTAGGTGTTGCTTTATTTGTTTTTTTAAACCTGCTTGAGTTCTGGCTGGGCTTGTAGTTTATGACTTGTAACGTGTCTGATTGATTCATCAGACACTATTTTGCTTGTTTTTGATTGATATGTTTATTGACTTGCCCATAGGGTTCAGCAAGCTGACTGGTTGCTCAATTAACTAACTGATTGGCTGGTTCTTTTACTGATGAGTATCAATTGGTTGATTGTTTGATTGACTAAGTGACTGATTGACTGAGAACAAAATAAGTTATGGTAAAATGAACAAATGTAAAACTGAAAGCCTGCAATTAAAAACCAATTGATTGGTCTGTTCTTTAACTTCTTCTAGTAATGTCAGTATCAATTGGTTGACTGATTGGATTGACTAACTGATTGTTTGATTGACAGGTGAAGGAGGCATCGCGGCAGCCCCAGATGGTGTTTACGGTGCGCCATGCCACGGTGACCTTCCAGATGGACGGCGACACGTGGCGTGAGCAGAAGGAGAAGAAGGCGGCGCTGATGGTGGGGATACTGATCGGTGTCTTCGTCCTGTGCTGGATCCCCTTCTTCCTCACAGAGCTCATCATCCCACTGTGCCACTGCGACATTCCGCCCATTTGGAAGAGCATCTTCCTGTGGCTGGGCTACTCCAACTCCTTCTTCAACCCGTTAATCTACACAGCCTTCAACAAGAACTACAACAACGCCCTGAGGAACCTGTTCTCCTGCCAACACTGAGGCTGGGGATGAGGGCTGGAGGACAAAACTGACCGTGCCAAATAACGGTTCAAATCAGCGAGTGGCCGTCCTATCGTCTCTGACCACAGAACATTGGCCATCATTTTCTGTTCATTTGACACTGAGACGGGCTGAGGCTGGGTCGGAGACTAAGGCTAAGACCACAGGAGGTTGGTGCCACCTTAATTGGGGAGGACGAGCTTGTGGTAATGGCTGGAGCGGAATAAGTGGAAAGGTATCAAATACAGCCCTTCCATCCGTGCTGTTCCAGACATTATTATGAGCCATCCTCCCCTCAGCAGCCTCCTGTGGCCATGACTAAGGCTGGGGATAAGGCAGAGGCGGAGAATGGGGCTGAGGCTCAAGCTGAACCACACGAACAGCCACTACACCAGGATGCTAGCTCTGACAGAGCTCGAGAGCACATCTGACAAACCAGCACAGGCTCTTTTAGCGGCACCTATCCCAACTCTGCCGTCAACTAAGCTCTTGCAAAGCAGCGTGTTCAAAGACTTTCAGAACTTTTATGATGTTTTTGCATTGGGTATGTTTGAAGCTTGAATCACAGATGGAGTTAAAGAGTGCCAGTCAATCCAGCACTGCATTGCAGTGAGAGGACACAGGTGAGCCATAACAATGGCACTTCTCTCCAGGGACACATTTATACAGATGCATCAAAGCCGATTTGCTCCAGGCCTTATGGGAGATGTCAGATAAAAACATTTTAGGTCTCTAGAAAGAACACACTGTCATCACATTATCAAATTGATGTCACAGGAACAGTGTTGAGGGGGTGGTGGTTAACTGTCCTCAGATACACCATAGACTAAAAAACAAAATAAATGCCTGGATCTCATAAACCAAAGGACTCAATTACAAACCATGGACTATCAAATCTAATTTTATTTGTCACATGCGCCGAATACAACAGGTGTAGACCTTACCGTAAAATGCTTACTTACAAGAGAGTTGTTTTTAAGTAAGTAAGAAAATATTAGCTAAAAAATAAAATATACGTCTAATAAAAAGTACCACAATAAGAAAACAATAACGAGGCTATACGGGGGGGGTACCGGTACTTTTCCTGTAGTCCACGATCAGCTCCTTTGTCTTGCTCATATTGAGGGAGAGGTTAATGTCCTGGCACCACATTGCCAGGTCTCTGACCTCCTCCCTATAGGCTGTCTCATCGTTGTCAGTGGTCAGGTCTACCACCGTTGTGTCGTCTGCAAACTTAATGATGGTGTTGGAGTTGTTCGTGGCTACACAGTCATGGGTGAACAGGGAGTACAGGAGGGACTAAGCATGCACCCTGAGGGGCCCCCGTGTTGAGGATCAGCGTGGCAGATGTGTTGTTTCCTACGTGGGGGTGGCCCGTCAGGAAGTCCAGGATGCAGTTTCAGAGGGAGGTGTTTAGGTCCAGGGTCCTAGTCAACAAACAGTATTCTCACGTAGGTGTTCCTTTTGTCCAGGTGGGAAAAGGCAGTGTGGAGTGCAATAGAAATTGCGTAATCTGTGGATCTATTGGGGCAGTATGCAAATTGTGGTGGGTGTGAGAGAAATATTAACATGTAACATGTTTACCTGCTTTGTTTAATATTAATAGTTAACAATTCTATACTTTTCTACTAATGCTGCTAGTCTCGGCGTGTGGTCAAGAACATGGGTTTTACTCAAGATAGGGGTATCTGGAGCTGTCAATTTAATTATGAATGGTTTGGTGATAAAACCTACAGAATGCATTCCATAGAATGAATTGGTGTTCGTGTATAATGAGGTACCAGGGAGAGATTGCTCGGGTATGGATAATGATGAGAGGAAGCTTGTTTTGGGTGCCAAACTCTGGTTTCCATGCAGTAAGAACAGTCTTCATAGCAAATGCTATCTGGCTGGGGGATACTCCTTTCTCATATATCAAGTCTCACCTTTTGACCCATTCCACACATATGCTGTTTGTCATGTAGACTGGGAGGGTGTATTGTGCTAGAAAATATATTTGTATTGTATTTTAACCTGTTTAAAGGTCTTACTCACATCGGCTACGGAGAGCGTGATCACACAGTCGTCAGGAACAGCTGGTGCTCTCATGCATGGTTAAGTGTTGCTTGCCTTGAAGCGAGCATAGAAGGCATTTAGCTCGTCTGGTAGGCTCGTGACGGTAGGCAGCTCGCGGCTGGGTTTCCCTTTGTAATCCATAATAGTTTGCAAGCCCTGCCACATTCAACAAGCATCAGAGTCGGTGTGGTAGGATTCAATCAGTCCTGTATTGACGTTTTGCCTGTTTGATGGTTCGTCGGACGGTATAGCGGGATTTCTTATAAGCGTCCGTATTAGTGTCCCGCTCCTTGAAAGCGGCAGCTCTAGGCTTTATCTCAGTGCGGATGTTGCCTGTAATCCATGCTTCTGTTTGGGATATGTACTGTACGTACGGTCACTGTGGGGACGACGTTGTCAATGCACTTATTTATGAAGCCAGCGACTGATGTGGTATACTCCTCAATGCCATCGGATGAATCCCGGAACATATTCCAGTCTGTGCCAGCAAAACAGTCCTGTAGCTTAGCATCCACGTCATCTGACCACTTCCGTATTGAGCGAGTCACTGGTACTTCCTGCTTGAGTTTTGCTTGTATGCAGGAATCAGGAGGATACAATAATGGTCAGATTTGTCAAATGGAGGGCGTCTGTACGCATTGGAGTAAATGTTGTCTAGAGTTTTTTTCTTCTGGTTGCACATGCTGGTAAAAATTTGGTAAAATGGATTTATATGTTCCTGCATTATAGTCCCCAGCCACTAGTAGCACCGCTTCTGGGTGAGCATTCTCTTGTTTGCTTCTGGCATTATACAGCTTGTTGAGTGCGGTCTTTGTGCCTGCATCGGTTTGTGGTGGTAAATAGACAGCTACAAAAAATATAAGCACAATTGGTTAGGAGCCCGTAAAACTGCAGCCATCCCCTCCGGTGCCGTTCTCCATTTTTCATTGTGTTTTCGCTGATAAATAACCAACAAACGGTGGATACATTTTAAAAGTAGATAACAATCTAGGGAATACATTACAATCCGTGGATTTAACAACCATCGATTTAACAACCATCAAACATAACTGTGATCATCTTGCAACTGACTACACCATTTTGAGAAAGTACAGTTTTAGATTGCTGTATCCAAATAAGATAATACTGTATCAAAATGAAATAAATGCATGAAAATTAGGGTGTGTTCATAATCTTTACTCTCTTCTTTCAATCAGTTGTGTTGTGACAAGGTAAGGGGGGATATACGGAAGATAGCCCTATTTGGTAAAAGACCAAGTCCATATTATGGCAAGAACAGCTCAAATAAGCAAAGAGAAACAACAGTCCATCATTACTTTAAGACATGAAGGTCAGTCAATACGGAAAATGTCAAAAACTTTGAAAGTTTCTTCAAGTGCTGTCGCAAAAACCATCAAGCTCTATGATGAAACTGGCTCTCATGAGGACCGCCACAGGAATGGAAGACCCAGAGTTACCTCTGCTGTATGCAATGGATATAAGACTGGTGGAAATTTGAACTTTGGTCTTGAGTCCAAATTTGAGATTTTTGGTTCCAACCGCCGTGTCTTTGTGAGACACTGTGTGGGTGAATGGATGATCTCCTCATGTGTATTTCCCACCATAAAGCATGGAGGAGGAGATGTTATGGTGTGGGGGTGCTTTGCTGGTGACACTGTCTGTGATTTATTTAGAATTCAAGGCACACTTAACCAGCATGGCTACCACAGCATTCTGCAGCGATACGCCATCCCATCTGGTTTGGGCTTAGTGGGACTATCATTTGTTTTTCAACAGGACAATGACCCAACACACCTCAAGGCTGTGTAACGGCTATTTTACCAAGAAGGAGTGTGATGGAGTGCTGCATCAGGCCTCAACCCAATTGAGATGGTTTGGGAGGAGTCGGACCGCAGAGTGAAGGAAAAGCAGCCAACAAGTGCTCAGCATATGTGGGAACTCCTTCAAGACTGTTGAAAAAGCATTCCAGGTGAAGCTGATTGAGAGAATTCTAAGAGTGTGCAAAGCTATTTGAAGAATCTCAAATATGCTTGGATCGAACCAGAAATTATATAAAAGGTCAGCACTTGAATATGATTTGCAATTGATAATATATATAAATGATAATAAACCACACAGTTACTTTTCAGCTTGCACACTGAGGAAGTGGCAAGCCGAAACGTAACCGTGTGGTTTATTTGGACATGTTGCTACTCTGAGGCAAAGAAAATAAACAGAAAGCTTCAATTTCAAATAATGTTCTGCCCTCCCTGCTGAAAAAAACAGCATAGACCAGCATAGTCTGGTGGTAACCAGCCTTCATTGTGTTTTCACTGGTGACCAGCCTTCATTGTGTTTTCATTGGTGACAGGCCTTAATTGTGTTTTCGCTGGTGACAGGCCTTCGCTGTTTTTTTTATAATTTTTTTATTTAACCTTTATTTAACCAGGTAAGCCAGTTGAGAACAAGTTCTCATTTACAACTGCGACCTGGCCAAGATAAAGCAAGGCAGTGCGATAAAAACAACAACAACACAGAGTTACAGCCTTCATTGTGTTTTGGATACTGGTGACCAGCGTACCAGCATATGCTGGTCACCCGCAAAACCAGCATCAAGTCACATTTTGCTGGCTTGCAAACTGATGTCTAATTCCTTTTGGAGTTCATCCTGAGTCGTGATTTCTAACAATTATAACTTTTATTCACCCACAATCTGCATTCAGAATGACTGCCAGGATTAGAAAGATGAATAAATGAGACTACCTAAACCATCTAAACTGGAACAACCATTTCAGTAACAGGTGTAATAAATCCAACTAAAAGATTGGATTAGTTTAGAAAAAAATGTTTTATTTATCTTTGTGTAGCATAAGATAAATTAATTGATTAATCGATGAATGTACATGAAAAATCACAGATATTGAAACAAACCATTCAAAATATCTAACTGCAATAGAGCGTGCTGG